ATTTAGCAGCAAAAGACTAGAGGAAAGGCAGCTAGTCACCACCACCCACCGCCAACTCTTGGGCTACTCTTTTACCAACGAATAGTGAGATTCACCGTCACATTATAACGTCCCCACGGCTGAAAGGGTGAGCATGTTTGGTGGGACGGGATTTTAACCCGCGACCTGCAAATTGCAAGTCGAGCACCCTAACCACCTGGCCATGCCAAGCTCGGAGAGAAAGCATTCAGTCAGCAGTACCTGCCATAACTTAAATGAATAGCTGGATCAACTGTTACGGTTATGATTCCTATTTTCAGTGACATATCGTTACTCGAACTTTGAACTTTTAAGTTCTTTACACATTATTATGTTATGTTACTAGCTCTGTATTATTAACTTGAATACTGATTTATCACCTAGCTTTCATAGATTTTTTTTCATTTTTGATGTTAGCTAATCTCAGGATTTCAAAATGGCGACTCATTTTGCTCGTAGTCAAACTGCGTAGGACTTCTTTTCTCTTCTCTACCAGCCACTGTTTAAGTACTTATGTAGCAGGGCCTAGAAATGCACACCACTGATGTAGTAATAAAAAAGCGTTAGAGTTTGGAATCTAGAACATAGATTGCATAGAAGTTTAAATCAGTTAAAGTTCCAACAAAAGCCACGTGTTGTATAACATTAAACAAAATCATCTATCATATTAAAATAATATCATAAAATTTTACTCTCTATTAATATATATAAATATATATTAACTTGATCAGAGAGTATATAACTGGTATAATAAGTATAGAAATAATGATAATCTATTTATAATATTTTCAAGTGGAGCTTTTAGTTACCGCTGATAACTCGCATTGTTTAAACGCAATTAATTTGATGCCTTAAGTACTCGTAATGTTATCGTATTTCTTCAACAATTTGTTACTGAAGACATGGACCTTAACAAAAGATGTTTTAACTTGGTTTATGCGTTTTATAAAAGACGAAATTTCGATCGCGTGGTATAAAAATTATAGAATAAAAAAGGTTGTTGAGTAAATAAAGAAATCAAAAGAATTACATCAACCAACATTTTTTTTTGTCTATGTTGCATTCTAAGACAAGAAAGAAAAGAATAAATTTTATCAGATATGAGAGCTTATGAACACTTATGTTATCATATGCAAATTCTATTATACGTATCTATTGTTTGAAATATTCAGGTCTGTTCGTATCCCATGGCTTTATTAAAATCAATAGTTTCTAATACTGTGCAAGAAAACGTCATTGTTCAACATACTAAAAAAACGTTTTGTAGTACGAACAGTTCCAAGAACATCGACCACATGATCAAAAATACGCTATGCAACTCGCAGAAATTGAAGTCGGATTAAACTATAAAAATGGTATATTCAAATTAATTCATACTGTGACTAAATCAGGTACGTTTTGGTTTCATTCTCATTTTACGTAAAAAAATGAGGACATCCATAACTAAGAGGCGCGTTCTCGTCCTCTTCTCTTGTCAATCATATTTGAAGAATATTTTATCACGAGACTTAATATACGTTGCACCCTAGCAGCATTTCCAGTAGTTTTCCATTTGCAACAAGAAAACATACTTAAAAATATAATAAAAATCACATACCTGTTACCAGTAGAGTAATATTGTTTTAAAATTATTATAAACGTATTCGAAGTGTTATTATTGATAATTAACAGTTATATAATTAGTGTGTACAATTCGTAATTTAATATAAAAGATATTACCATACTATCATTGGTAGTTGAAGTGCATTTTAAAAGAATAACTAGAAATTACAGAGAGTATTTTATAAACAGTTGTAAGTGTGGTGTGAAGACACATCATATTAGATTTAGAGCTGACCTAGAAAGTATCCTTAAAAATATAAAGGTTTAGGAGTTGATTAACAAAGGTTCTGATATTATAATAACACTTGTTAAATAGATTAATTCGATACTCTTGTATTCCCAAATTGCCCAGAAAGTTTAAAACACAATAAATCAAGTGAGATTTGATGAGTAAACAAATGAAAGGTAACAAATGGAAGTGAATAAAATTTTTAGTACGATTTTTTTCATAACAAACCATTTCTTTATCTTCAATGAACAGATTGAAGCTCACAGAATCTTAAACTAGAGATAATATATCGTATAATTCATCTTTAAGTTTTGGAGCAACGTAGACCGCTGGTGTCTATTAAACCTCTGACGTAAACCATTACGACACGGTAATGATTGCCCTCTATGTTACCTGAGAAAAGAAGCCTTAATTCACTTACGTTATTTACTAGGACTTTTAAGCTATTTTAACTTTAATTTTACTGGTGTTTGTGTGTATTAAAAACGTTTGTCTTTTATATATTTTAAGATGCTATGTTTGTTTATTCTATAATAACTTAGAATTGTAGCTGCCGTTTATTATTGTTCTCTGGGGGAGGGGGGGGGCAGCGGTAAGTCTACTGTATTACAACGATAAAAGTCCGCGCTTCGGTTACCCGCGGTTGAAACAGCAGATAATTCAATGTGGCTTTGCTCTAAAACAGACGAACTGCTTATTATTAGTTTTAGGATGATTAGTTCCCAGTAAACAAGTGAAACTAGTATCATTTTCATATAAAATGAGCCTGTGGTCGTTATGTTTTCCACATTTTATTTTCATGTTTGAGTGGCTTTTCACA